ATCGAAACTCCGCGAGACCAAGGCTTTCCCATTGGTGATGCCAAAATGAAGAGGATGAAGGAAATTAAAAAAGATCTGAGACCGGAATGAAAGAGAGAGGAAACCGCTCTCTTCATCGTTCCGTGAATCTAGACCGTAACGTGCATACAGTACACTCACGTCAACCTTCGACGACAGGGAGGGAGGGAGGGCTTGGGATCGTTTGATTTTTCATATATCTTTTTTCTCCTTCCCTCTTTTCATGGCCCGAACAGATGACACATCCGAAACTAAACCGATCCCAGTCAAGAAGGAGAGGATGGAACAGGGACGGGAATACGGAAGCGGAAGAAGGACCCTGAACGTCTCATGGCCACGAAATACCCTTTCTTTCTTTCTTCCTTTTTTTTTTGCTTGGGTTAGAACATGGTTTTTACATCACGAACGACAAGCGGATCCGTGCGCTCCCTTTTCCACGTGGGTTAGCGGAGGATTCCCTCCAGGTTTGGTCTTTTGAACATTTCCTCCCCTTGAAACTTTGGGAAAAGAAAAGATGACAAGGTGAAAGATGACATTCGAATCGTATTTCCTCTTGAATTCCTTTTTTAAGAGGTAGAGGCGGAGATGGAGAGAGAGAAACGGTTGGCGTCAAGTACCGGAACCTCCTCAGTTCAAAAGGATCGCATCGAAACGAAACCGCCCTCTGACTATGGGAACCACCCATGGTTGGATCCACTGGGTCCCCTAGCACGTCGAGGGAAGGGCAAGGGGAGGTTGTTGGTCCGAGAGGCAAGGAGTGGACACTCAACAGCCCTGATGAAAGTCTCGATGTCATGATCACTGTTCCTTACCACAATAACTCTTCGTTCAATACTTCCTAAAGCGGGACGTTGCTATGAAAGCGAATCCTTAGCCCAACCCAACCCCACCTGGCCCCCCTTCCTCACCAAGCGTTGACGGGAAGGGCGAGTTCGGACGAACCGACGGGTAAAGATCGTGTGAGGAAGCAAGGAGAAACCACTCGTGGCCAGCACATGTCCCTTGGCAGAAATGAAGAAAGGAGCAACTCGGGAAAGAAGTGGGGGTTGACGGGGAGGGTGCCCCGATTCCTTTAAGGGTTTTTTCCCCTCCCTATCTATCTTTTTTTAGGGGTGGGGAGGGTTGGACGGGATTGGTGTCGAGCGATAAGAAGGTTTTCATGACATGTTGTTTTTTTCCGGCCTCCCTCCGTAGTCACTGGCTATCTTTGGAGAGAAACGATAGTTAGTGCGAATCTAGGCTCACAGATAGGGGGGGAGGGGGATTCGATTCGCGTTCGGATGGAAGGTGGTGGGATTCGACCGAGGAGGATGAACCAGACCGAGTCAAGGGTTTGAGTTGGGCTTTTGATGAACGTGAATGATTGAGAGGTGGAGTGGATGGAGTGGTACGATTGTGATCCCTTCGGTGAGGAAAGGGCCAAGTGGGGGTGGAAAGCAGGGAGCGGAGAGGCGGGAGCTGCACAAGGGCGCTATGGTGGGTTGGCTCTGCGTCGCATGACTATTTTTTCTCACTCATCTATTATTCCTTGAATTGCGTTTTTTTTTTTTTTTCTTTTCTCTTTCCTCTTTCGCCTTTCCAAGGAAGGCAAGGGAAGGGAAGGGATTCGGAAGAGGGGCAATCTAAGAAAAGTTTGGTGACACAGACATGGATTTTCACGTCACCCATGATTCCAAACTCCATCCCACCCAGCTCATCGATGATCAGCACGTGGAGAAGTAAGACGTCTGGATCCTTTCTCGCCTGACCTGGGTTTGAAGAAAAGGAGCCCGGGTCTCTCTCTTCTTCGAAAACATGGGCTCGACCCAACTTTCGACTCCAGTCCACTCGATCCTTCCTCCTCCTCCTCCTCCTCCTCCTCCCACCTCAACTTGAGCGCTCCTTGATTGCCGATTCCAGATCCAAATCATCCGCTACTGATTCGTGTTGCAGAATCCCCACGAACAAGCCTTTTCTCAAAAGAATGCAATCGATCGATCTTTCTTTTTTTTTTTCGTTTTCAAACTGTCGGGCCCACCCCAAGGAGGAAAGAAGCGCTGGAAACCCAAGTTGGCAAGGGGAGCGGTGGAAAGAGCGAGTTTCTCGTCGCACTCCTTCCCACTGACCCGCTTCCTCCAAGCTGGATTGGAGTAGGTCGAGGGAGAAGAAGTTTCAAACCAAGGGTCCCTCCCAATCGAATGCTCGTTTGTTTCCCGGCGCATTTCTTCACTCCCGTAGCACAGGAGAAATGGCAAACCGTTTCGGTCGGACTCCTTTTTCTTTCCATACCTTTCTGGACGAGCGTTTTCAGCTCTGCTAAGCCCTATCACTTGTTCCACCCGTCGGGACTCTGTAGTGGGTGATGGGGCGCGTTCGATCCCCCCTCTTACCCTCCTCAACTCTTGAACGAAAGGGGGCGGCAGCCGTACGTAGACAAGTAATAGGAAGAAGGGAGTCCCTTTCCTTCCACCAAAGACACTTTCTTTCTTTCCCGCATTTTACAGGAGTGGATCGCCCTTCCCCCCCGCGCCCCTCCCCATCCCTCTTCTCTCTCTCTCTCTCTCTCTCTCTCTCTCTCTCCCCTCCTTTAACACTGACAGAAACAAGCAGGCTGTACCATTTCCTCATCTTCCCCTCCCTTCATTGCATTCAAGCAGGCATTCGTTAGGATTTCCGTTAGGCTTCGACTTCCTTCATCAAGGCATCCCATTCTTCGCCTTCCTCTCTCACAAATAAACACCTCGTCAATTCGGTTCCTGCGACTACCTTCAATCTTACGAAGATAGAGATGATTTCAGAAAAGGTTCCCGACCAAGCCGAGGCGATCCCTCAAGCCACCACCACCCATGGCTACAAACCCTTGGAAGAGACTGCAAAGTGGAAGATCACTCCCCAATCCTTCACCGACGATGAAAAGAACGACTTTGGTACGAAGAGGGAGGACCGGATAGGCTACCTTGAGGGTCTGAGGGGCCTTTTGGCCTTCGAGGTTCTCCTTTGGACCTTTTTCAGGATTTTGAGCCCAGGTGAGTCTTCATTTTTCGTCTTCCCTCCCCCCCTCCGCATCCCACCGAAGATTTTTTTGGAAGCGTCTGTAGACTCGATAAATGAGGAGAGTGTTCATCTAATGAATTGTCCGTTTACATTTACCCTTCACCCCTTCATCTTGGTCAACCCGGAAACTCCAGCCATGGTCACCGACACCGACTTGGATGGGACTCGTCCGGCCAGCTTCGTTCAGACCTCTCCGGAATGGCAAAGCGTCCTCCGAAAGGTCCTCTCTCCCCTGTTCTGGGACGGGACGTTGCAGGCTACCTTCTTCTTCGTCCTTTCGGGTCGAGTCGTCAGCCAGACGTTTGTCGAGAGGAGGACCGCCACGACTTTGGCCGGAGCTGCCTTTCGACGACCCATCAGGCTCTTGATCCCAGTTTCGGTGGCTCTGGCATTGACGAGCATCCTGGTCGCCACCGGCTCCTTTTCGGCCGCCCAGACCTTCTCCAAGAGGGTAGGCAACGCTTTCGCCCAACCCCCACCGATTTGGGAGAGCACCATCCAATACTTCTACACCCTGGTTGGTTACTTCTTCGACACGAGCGACAGCATGATCACCACGGGTATGCTCTTCTTCCAACCTCGAGGGATCATCTGGTTCATCCCAAGGGTCTTCATGGAATCCTACACCATCTACACCTTCTCCTACCTACTCCCTTTCACCGTGACAAAGTGGAAGTTCATCTTCCTCGGTGTTTTCACCCTCGCCCTCTGGTGGATCGGTTCTTTCGGCTGGTACTCGCTCACAGGACTCACCCTCACCGAACTGGTGGTGGTCTACGACCTTCCCTCCCTTGCGAGGCAGGGGATCTGTCTCCCTCTCCCGAGGTTCGTCTCGAGGTGGAGGTCAAACCTGACCCTCTCTACCTACATCCCTCCCGTCACCCTCCTTGGACTGGGGACGCTGCTCAAGTACCTCTGGGCTACCAAGTTCTACGATCAGAGGAATGACGAGATCGTCTGGCACGCTAGCCAGACCACGGGAGGTTTCAACACGGGATTCGAAGTCACCGAGACAGCCTACCCTAGGTTGGACGACTGGTTCCTCGTAGCGGGATCCTTCTACCTCTTGGAGATGGGACCGGGTCTCGTCAGGAGGTTGTTCGACAACCCGATCCTGAAGCACCTGGGAAGAATCTCGTTCTCCCTCTTCCTCGTATCCGGAATGATCATCATGTCCTTGGGTCCCCTGATTCAGAACCACCTCTTCGTCTCTCAAGGTTGGCGAAACGAATCCGGTATCCTCGGAGTCTGCTTCGTCTCCCTCGTTCCCCTCTGCCTCATCTCGGCGGAGATCTTTCACAGGTTGATCGATGAACCCTCTTGCCTCTTTGCGAGGTTCATGTTCAAGTGGATGAAGGAAGATTGAAAGGCATCTCCTCTTTTTTCCTCCTCCTCCTATCCCCCTCCCCCCTCCACTCTCTGTTCACTTCTACTCTAATCCTTCCTCCCCCACACCGTATGTATTTGCCCCAGGGCTCAACACCTTATATCCTCTCACCTTGAAAAAGTCCAAACGATCCGGTTCCCACACACCCACACTGCATCTCCACCTTTTTTTTTTTTTTTTGACGGAAAGATTATTTTTCTTTCTTTCTAACACCGAACAAATAGATGAAGAAACATCCCCACACTCTTTCAGGCATGTGTCTCCCAAACGACAAGCCGATCCTCCCCTTCATTTTCTCCTGTATACCTACCATCCCTCTCGAAACAGAACGGTCTTCTTGCAAACTTTACCTTGATGAACGTGACCATCTCCTGATGGATCTTGCAATCAGCCAGCGGAAAGGGTGCGAGGGGGGAGGGGAAAGGTGACCTCGACGCGAACTCAAAGGGGTGGAAAGATCTGAGAAGGGAAGAAGGGAAGAAAAGACCTCTTCCCCGTTCGTTGATCCCATCTATCCTTGTCACGCTCTTGTAGCCCAACCCGAACCTCGGCGCTCGCAAAAGGTTGTATGGTCCAACGGTCAAGACGTCAGATTCTGAAGTTCTAGCAAGGTATAATCCCTTCCTTTCTGAAGACCTGTGTTCGATTCACAGTACGACCTCATTCTTCCACTCTCTCTTTTTTCATTTTGTCTTTTTTCCTTTCCTTTCCCACTGATTTCCCACCTGACCCCCCGCCTTGTTCTTCCCCTTCCTTCTCTGCAAGTTCCGAATCGATCCGCTCAGTCGATGAGGTAGGATATCTGTTGGTCAGGTTAGGTTTGACTTTGGCCCGAAGGTTGTGAGGCGCTTTTTTTGAAAAAAAAAAAAATTGAGCTGAAGAAAGTAACAAGAATTTACCAAAGAAAAAAAAAAAAAGAAGAAACAATCCAGTCAAAGTGGAGAAAGAAGGAGAGAAGATCGGGGAGGAAAAGAGGATCGAAAGACGCAACGAAAAGAAACACGAAATAAATGTTACCAAATCAAAAAAAAAAAAAATCAAAAAATCATGAGCCTTCACCCCTTCTCTTCGGGTGATCTGCAGGTGAAGGATTGTGGGAAGGGAAAAAGACGAGAGACTCGAAAAAAAAATCATTTCCAACCTAAGTCAGAAGGAGCGGTGGTGCTGGGAATCGAAAGGGGGAAAAAAGTAAAAATTTCCCTGCCGGGGAATTGAACCCCGATCTGAGCAGCTACTCTCCCTGTGGGGGAGTGTGAGAGTGCCCTATACTAGCCATTGTACTAACAAGGACATCCATGTCCAATTACAGGAATAAGCAATGATCAATATTACATTATTAAAGCAGATATCCGACAAGGTCGAAAAAATCCCACCAAAAAAGCCAAAAAAAGAACCCCACTTCAAAGGTCGAGCAACCAAGGAAGAAGAAAATCCAACCCCTCACACCTCAAACTCCTCCCATTCCATTTCCAAGGTAAGAAGACCCAAAGTTCAGATCATCGGAAGGATTTTGCTTCGCAGGACAAAAATAGAAAGTTAAAGCAGTTGTGGTACCATCCGGACTCGAACCGGAGATGAACAAGGGGAGGGGGTTAGGGGGATGGGGTCAACACCCTCGAAGTGGGGGTGCAAGCTATCATGGAAGCTTGAATCTTGCGCCTTAGACCGCTCGGCCATAGTACCTTTCTCGACGTCGTCGCCCGCATTGAGTCATGTTATACCGCTAGATTAAAAAAATAAAGTTAAGGATTTCCAACCATCCATCCTTGGATCATCTTCAAGGGAAAAGGACGTGGCGCAAGGATGCTCCATCTTTCTCGCAAAAGGGAGTCTATTCGTTCAAAAAAAAAGAAAGAGTTCAAGTCGTGACAAGTACAGGAAGAGGCACGATTGCATGACAAGGGAGAGAGGGTTGGGGTTGGAGGCCTTGAGCGAAATTCACATCGGCTGGTAGGCTGGAAGCTGCTCGTCATCCTCGTTGCCGTCCCCTCCTCCAATCGAGCTCTCATCGACTTGACCCAAGCCGCCCAGACCACCACCACCTCCTCCTCCTCCACCGACACCGCTTCCATCCCTTCGGATCCTAGCCTGGAGGGCCATCCTCCTCACCTCCTCCGCTTCCCTCCTGGCTTCCTCGGCCTTTCTCTCCCTCTCCGTCGAGGGGGTCTGGCCGCTGACCGGGTCATCGTTGGGAGGAGGAACGGGGTTGGGGTCCGAGTAGAACGAATCCGACGGGTTGGTGCTGTACGAGCTCGAAGGGACAAAGTTGGAATGGCCCGGAGTGGCTTGATCAGAGAGGTTGGAGATCGAGCCGGAAGAGGACAGGCTTCCACTGCCTCCGAGACCACCGAATTGCTGCTGCGCAGCGAAGCGCCTTGCGGGCGTCATCGGCACTTGGTTGGCCGGCCCGAGAGACGTGTTGTTGTTGCTGGTCTGAACGGTGAGACCCGAGAACCTTGGGAAGACCCAGGTCCCTAAGAGTTCGACCCCACCTTTGGCCCTCACTTCCTGAACGTCCTCGGCCACGTGCTTCCCTTTCTCGCCGTCGACGGACGAGGCGCACTCCTCTTGGATCCTCGACACGAGGTCTTCGAATTCCTTCCTCGTGGATTCCTCGTCGTCGCTGCCTTGATGTTCGAGCTCCACGAGGTAGACGCACCTCCAGACGCTCGATCTTTCGAAAGCCGCGCTGGAACGGGTGAAGGCGTCCGCATCCTTCGAGTAAGGGCCGGGACGCCTGTCAACCTTTCGTACTTTGATGTTGCCTCCCGCCTTGTCGTCGAGGATCGATTTCAGCGCCGTGAAAAACTTGGACTCTCCTTCGCTCTTGCCACCCTCGTCGTCGCCAGACATCGGATCGAACAGCCTGATGAGCGCCCTGGCCCGGCTCTTGGACGTCTCTCCTTCCGGGCTCGACATGAGTGCGGGCAAGGTTCTCGCGTCGCGCGAGGAGGAGAGGACGAGGAACCTGGTCTTGTTGTCGTTCCTGTCTTGGATGTTCTTTCTCAGCAAGGGGATGTCAAAGGTGGGCGAGCAAATTTCAGGGGCGATGGCAACTACCAGGCCGGAGGCCGAATCGGCCTCTTTCGCCGCTTTGGCCGCACCGGCTGTCGAGGGGGTTGGCTTTCTGACGGCGTTCGGCATGTAGTCTCTCAGGAAGCCCATGCACTGACCCAGGGCCTGCTCGTGAGAGTAGACCTCGGTCACATGAGCCAGGGCTTCGAGGCCAAGATTCCCGCTGGCGTCCAGCCCCCCCGCTAGCTTGACCAGTCGTGAGTACGTGTTTGGGCCACACATGAGCGCATGGCCGATCGAGAGCCTCGTCTCGCCAATGACGTACGCCTCGGCCTTGGCCAGGCCACCGCCAGCGATGGTGCTGGCTTCCCCGCAGAGCTGCTCCATCGTTTCACTGACGGGCCCAAAGGTCGAGTTTTCGAGGGGGACGACGGCGAATCTCACCAAGGCCCTTGCGCCCTCGGCTCGAGCACTAGCAGGGATCTGAGGAGCGCTTCGAACAAAGTCGATGGCCGAACCGATCGAGGCCTGTGGGACGAGGTTGGCGCCTCCGGTTGGCGTGGTGGGGCCAAATGCTTGGAGGGCCGCCTGGTGAGAATAGGTACCGGGAGGTCCAAGGTATGCAACAGTGGCGGTCGAGACTCGAGGGGTCGAGGATTTCCGGCGGGTCAAGGTACCGGAGAGGGGACCACCAGTGCCAGAGATGGGAACGAGACCGGTCTCGGCGACCGTGGTCTCGCTGGGACCGGTAGCCTGCTCATGCTCTGCTGTCGAAAGGCCGGCTTCATCGGAAGCGCCAGCTGGGACAGGGCCGGCAAGGGAAGGGGATCCGGGAGGCTGATGGGACTTTCTCGGAGGGAGAGGGGGCCTGGTGGGGGAAGGGATCGTAGCCGGGCTCATGTTGAGATGCGAATGGATCGGGACGCCATCCGCAAGGGGAGAGAGGGGCGGTTCGTTGGAGGCCGTTGAGACGGATGCTCTCCTGTCGTCCTGCAGCTCATGAGCGGCATCGGTGGTGGTAAACTCTGTTCGGTGAGAGACACCGAAGGAAACCGTGTTGGATCTCGCCAGGTTGCTGGCGCTCTGGTCCAGCGCGGCAGTGGGCGCCGAACCGACAACGGGGAGGGCTGCGGCCGGCCTGTAAGCCTGGAGGGCTGGTTCGATGGCTGCTCTGATTTCACCGGTCCTGACGGCGCCTGGCCACAGCGGCATGTCAGGGCTTCTGGCGACAATGGTGGCGGGGAAAGCGGGAGCGCAGTCCGTAGGGACCTCGCGGCAGAGGAGTTTGCCGTACCTTGCGATGAGCGCCATCTTTTCCCCGAGCTCGATCATGCTATCGAAGAGCGCATCGAAGCCCTCTTGAACGCATTTCCTCTTCAGCTTTGCAAGGTCTGATTCGTACGCTAGGTCCTCGTCCTCCAACTCTTTCAGCTGGCTCTCGAGCTGGGTGATCCTGGTCGGGGAGGATGTGGACTTGGCCCTCTCCGGCATGAGGGCGTGAAGCTGGGCTCGGATCTTGGCTCGCTTCTCCCTCCTAGAGGCAAGCTCTTGTTCCTGTTTGGCAAAGCGCTTGAACGTGGCACGGGCCTGCTCCGACCTGGCGCTGTGGGCAGATTCGAGCTGGCCGACCTCGAAGAGGACGTAAGCCAGTCGGTCGGTGCTGTGACCCGTTTCATGCGACGACGAGCGAGGTAGAGGGAGGTGAACGAAAGAAAGACGCTCGGATCAACGTAGGTTTTGGTGATGGGAAGCAAGGGAGGCGAGAGTCGGTACGACTGTACTCACATGTCGACGATGACCTCGTCCCCTACGGCATCGTCACGCTTCTCTGGGAGGTGATCCTGTCCCCAGTTGTAGGTGGCTTTGGCGAGAGACTTGGACTCCCTCGAGGTGGCTTGGTGGTCGATGGCGAGGCTCTTGAGCGCTCCGCTGAGGAGGTGCGTGGTCCGGTTGGATTCGTACCTGGGATCTACGGAGGCGATGCCCTGCCTGAGAAGGTGGGGGACGGCTCCACTGTAAGTGAAGTTGGGTTCGGCGGAAGGGGCGGAGGAGGAGGAGGAGGAGGAGATGGATGAATGCTGCGCTTGGAACTGCTGAGCAGCCTGCTCGGCCTTCTCCCTTGCTTTGGCGAAGAAGGAGGCCATGACGAGGAAGCTTGAGGGGGAGGTGGTGAAAAAGCCTGTTGGGGGCGGAGGCAAGGTAAGGGAGGGAGGAGTTGAAGGAAGGGAGGGAGAGAGAGAGAGAGAGAGAGAGAGAGAGAGAGAGAGAGAGAGAGAGAGAGGAAGAAGGGAGGGGAGATGGGAAGGGGAGAGGGAGAGAGACAAGACGAGGGTGTGAGGGTGGTGCAAGGGAAGGGGTGTCGTGTCAGGATGGTAGGTTGGTTAGAAGCGTTTCGAATTAGAAAACCATCCCGACCTCGGTCTTCTCACTCACCACTGCTGTGACCGTGACGACTCGTGACTGTGAGCTATATCGTACTTGTGGGGGGGAAAGGGGTGGATGGATTACAGTCCCAAATCGCGGTTGGTAGAAGGTGGTGACTGTGATCGTTTTGCGATTCCTACGAATCCTGTTGTTCTTGCCATCCGTCGTCGTCGAGTTACGGGTGAGTTGAGGTAGGGTGTGACCACGGAGTCATGAGGATGAGTGCACACCGTCTCTCCCTCTCCCTCCCTCTCCCTCCCTCTCTCTCCCTCTCTCTCCCTCTCTCTCCCTCTCTCTCCCTCTCCCTCTCCCTCTCCCTCTGTGGGGCCCTGTGCGTGGTTGGCAAGATTCACGTGGGAGAGAGGAGTCGACTCGGGCTGTGCCGTGCTAGAACACCAGCCTTTCCTTTTCCATTTCGTCGTTCGGAAACTCGGAAGCCAAGCAAAGCATTCGCACGCAAGCACACGCATACACGAACACACACACTCAACACACCCACCCACCCACAAACCACACATCTTCACTCCAACACCTCTCCTCTCCCGCCACACGGGGTGACGACTCTTACTCGGAATCAAGCTTGACTCTGAGTTCTGGAGCGATCGAAGGACGGGGAAAAGAGGGGGATAAGGAAGGCGGAAAAGTGGGTTTTCTTTTTTGAGGCACACCAAAGGTCCATCGTTCCCTTCCTTATCTATTCGACAGCAAGGGCCCTTCACCAGTCCTCGATCCATCCTTCCCTGGGAGGGCACCTGAATACCTTGACCACCCCGCTCTTGAGGTCGTCCAGCCGGAGGCTCACCTCCTCCAGAGGTCCTCCCGCCTTCTTGCCCCCTCCTCCTCCTCCGCTGCCGTGCGAACTGTAGACGACGCACTTGAGCTTGTTCTTCTTCTCCTCCACGTCCAGCACCACCGCGAACGTGGGTTCGTGCGCAGTGCCGAACGTGGCGTGGTACGGCGTCAGTCCCTTCTTCCCCTTGAACTCGGAACCTAGGCACTGGACAATGTCGCCCTGCCTGGGAGCGCTCGACTGTTCCATCACCGTGTTCCCGACCTGGGTCAGCACAGCGTAGCCGAACGAGTTGCCCACCGCGGGCAGAGCACACTTGACCGACGAGAGCAGCGCGTGGACAAAGCCCCTTGACGTCCCGTTCCCCACCGGCGCCTTGCTGCCGACGAGGCCCTGAGCCGCCTTGGCCACCTCGGCGCCAACGCTTCTCGACCATCCATCCAGCACGGCGCTC